ATAAGATTTTCTGTTGGTAAATGGTTCTATTCATTTTTTGAATGAGTAGATATTTTTCAGTTTTTCAGTGTAGAATTAAAAATTAACGATATATATCGATATATCGAGTTTTTGTCTCTTAAATATCGAAAATATCGAGTACGGCGAATATCGATACTTTTGCAGCTCTATTATCCAAGGCATGTCAGATGGAACGGATCAGTACAAACCTATACTGAGACAGGAGGCTTCTGCTCCTACGTTTTAAGAGGGAACTACATGCGTATGGTTACGGTGACCATATTAACCAACGTAAAATAAAGGACTTTTTTCAAAATGATTTGGGAATACGTACATGTACCTTACCCAATCGTAATTTAAATCAGATATTTGCCAGTTAATTAACCGATTCCGAAAAACGAAGCCAAATCCTTTTCAAGGACTTCGCCATCCTTTGCTGCCAAAATGCATTTACTATAATTCATACTGCACGCCGAAGCCAGCACACAGTGATTCAAAATTGGAATTTAATGTTCATAATTCACCGTAGTCTTCATTTTTCAACCAATTTTTACTAAAACAAAAAAAAATTGTTTTGGTGAAAATTTTTTGTGGAAAATGTTTTGGGGAACCATACAATTGTTTTCAACTAGTAGTTGTTATGTACCATTTATTAACTGGAACAGGAGAAGACATTTTCTTCAAAATTGCCACTTTTTCTGCATTTTGCAAAAAAAATTAAAACAATAAAATAAAAATTCACAAATATGGCTCAACTGGTCTCTTGCAAATATTATAAAATTCATCATATCATAAAAAAATTATCAAATTAAGTGAAACACATGAAGGCTCCAGTAAATTACGAACACTAAATGCCAGTTTTGAACCACTGTGCAGTAGGGGGTTTATTGTTCTCTTTCAGTGGAACTTGAAACTCAGCGTGCAACACGATCCTGGGCACAACTTTCCCTGTGCTTTATAGATTGTGCAAAGATTACCTATTAAATAAAAATCCTTATGTGGGGTTATTTTATTTTTATTTTTCTTATTCTGTGTTTAAAAATTTAGCTCAGCAAAATGTAGAGCTGATTTAAAGGATAGTTTAAGAAATAAAGGACAAAAGGCGTCCTTTACTCTGAAAAAAATTATAAAGGACGGGGGGTTAAAATAAAGGACTGTCCTTTAAAATAAAGGACGGATGGTCACCGTACGTATGGTGGATGCTGGCATCTTTTGCAAGGAACTCTCCATCAAACGCCATCGGGCTTCCGAATTTCTGTAGTATTTTCCGTCTAAACAGGGCCGGATTAAGAATGTGGGGGGCCGGAGCCGTTATGTATGATATATGTGTGTGAGCTAATAATTACATACAATTAATTGGAAAAATAATTATATTTTCATTTTAACAGTATCGTAAATTGACTTCTAACCACGTGTTTTCTTTTGAAAAGAGATGGAATAGTACGAATATTGTGTCTTTTCAGTCCGGCTTATTATCTCTGCCTGTACTTTCTCTCTCTCAAAGTTATTATTTCCTCGCAGGTTGCTGAAGATAAATAATTCAATTGCCCTCGTCCTTTATTTCCGTATTCTTTGATATGTCCGGGGGTCATTCTTAGCCATTACTTCCAGCAGCCTACGGAAATTTCGATCATTGTGTGCGTCGAGAATCTCGCCAGAGCCAGAAGAAGCTAAGCTAGGTTCCGCAAGATATATCTTGATTGTGCTGACAATTGTGAGATTTTTCTGTAATCTCTGAAAAATTATTATTTTTTGTTCTTTGGTGATCGCATGTGGGGCCCTGGGCCGCAACTCCGTCGGCCCTGCCCTTAATCTGGCCTTGCTTCTAAATATTGTTACAAAAGATGCAGAGTACAGTTTGATTAGACACTTTAATGGAGTGTGTTGAAAAACTTTCACAATGTTTTTGGAATTTAAACTTTACTGTAAATTTTTAGCAAACACAGTGATTGCTTGTACTCATTATAAATAATTACCCCCTTCGAGTTGTAATCTTTTTTTTTGCAATAGGCATAAAATGCAGGTAAGGCAAATTAAAAAAAAAAAAATTAGAAAGCGAATTCATACAAGGGGATAACAATAATCCAAAAGCAAAATTCACATGTATTATTTTGTTGTCTTTTTGCTTTTGCGGGTTAGCTGTCAAATCAGGCAAAGAAAGTACATTGATGATGCATCCCTGCAGAAGTCGAGAAAAAAACTGATGAGGAGATGTGTTGCTTTTTAAATTTTTCCTAATAAACATAATCGTGGAACAAAGGTCAATAACAACATTAAAATAAAATGTTAATAAGCCACAATAATATTGGCAAAAAATTTTAACCATTGGCGACCGAGAGGTCATGTTTCCATTTGTGGTTTAATTGAAACCAGTTTTTTTTTTTTTAAATATATATATATTAAAGAAAATAATGTCACTTAGTTATAAAAACTGTTTCTTCAGTCGCTATTTTTGAAAAATATATAGATCTTTTTCCTTTATTTGTCTGCTGAAAAGTTAAATGGACCAGCCTTGCAGCAACAAAGGCTGTTTACCATCCCTCTTATCTCCTCTCTTAATTGAGTTCTCCCTTTCAAATGTTAAATAGTTCACTGCTGACAATATCAAGCCTACCTATAAAAAAAGATTGTAAAAAGGCTAAATCTGAAAACTCGTTTTCCATGTAACGGTATTTTTGAAAAAAAAAAACAAAAACTGCGATATTTAAGTAACTTACCGCAGCCAAATTAGTAAATTTTTATATATAGAGTGAACTTTTAGCACAAAATTTAGTATTTAATAAATTGTTTTAAATGGGCGTGGTCAAACCCAATTATCATGAAATATGTGTACCCACCTAACCGGTTTCATCCAAACTTAGTACACTCATTACTGTTAGCCCCATTCAGAAATTCTTTCGAACCTTTGTGATATCGGACAATAACCACGGGACCTCCCCTGTATTGGTATTTTTGAAAGGTACAAATTCTACGGTATTTTACTATAAAATAACACTAAATATCTCAGGTTTGTATTTTGAAAAATTTATGAGCCGAAAATTTATTTAAAAAAAATTTGTTTGTAGCTATGGTACGGCTGAATTTAAGCTATATTTTAAATAAAAACAAGAAATTGTGTTGATCTAAATACGATAACTGTATTTACATTGAATTCATGGGGCGTTTAAACAAAATTAATATATGCAGTACAAGCTGTGTAAGTTCAGCAACTCAAATAAGCGTTCACATGATTTTCTTTAAATATTCAAAATGTTTTTGAAGATAAAATCCTTGTGCCAATTTTCCATAAAGGTATTGTTCATGCTACACCAAAACCACACAAATTAAAATATGAAACTTTATAAAAAATCTAGGAAGATTCAACAAATTTTCATAAAAATTTCTTACCTATTAAGAAATTCATGTCCTTATGGAAGAAAATGCGACAGATCGTTCAGATATAAAACTGCTAATTTTCTAAAAACTCAGATTAAGAAGTTAGAAATTTTCATGAAAATTTGTTGAATATTCCCAAATTTTGTACAAAGATTGAAACTTTAATTTATATGGATTTAGTGATGCAGGCTGCAATTTGGTAGCGTGTTTTGCTAAAAATATAACTTCTGTCACATCCAAGCAACATATGTATGAATTACCTATCAGTTAATAAAGAAAGAATATCTCGACACTAGCGGATTAATTCATCTTTCATATTGCATTGTCATCGGTTTCTGGATTGCAGTTTCAAGTCTCTACCTTATCGGAAGGTTGGTTAAACTGGATTTCAAGATTTAATTACACAGGTGAAAGTGGTTAGTAGCGGGTGTGTATCGAATAACCGCGCAAAAATGTGCAGCTATAATATATATTATTTTAATCTACCGGCAATGGGCTTTCATTAAAAAAAAATAAGTATGGCCCTGAGTGGTACGGGGTTTAAGTTTATGTAAAAATAATCAAGCGCAAAAAAGACTTGGCTTAGAACCGATATATACAATACAATTTTTAATATTTAAATCTTGATAAGTGTTGCTCTAAATAGGAGCAAGTGCTCCTGTTTGCATTTCAGAGTTTCTTGAATGAATTTTAAGTTTTAAATTAAATACAATTTCGCGGTGGAATCTTGTTCTTTATGCAAAACTGAAGATAATGCATTCTCTAAGATAAGTGTACCACCGTTTTTGACCAAAAACACGTTTTCGTCGAAAAATCTAACAAGTCATGCGATTCGCTCATATACTTAGGATTGATCATTTGAAGCGTGTTCGAAAATTATATCATACTAGAAATGAATAGGAATAAAACTGCATACCCAAAAATTTTCTTAAAAATTCTTAAACGGATTTTATGCATAATTTTGATGAAAATTTGTAGACTTTTTTTAACAAAGTTTTAAACTTGAATTTATGTGTTTTTTTGTTACTGAATTAACAAGTCTTTCATAAAAAAATATAACTTAAATTAAAAACTAGTCAAAACTTGGCATTACGTGGGTGTCTTGTAGTTACGGTAAGCCCTATAACCCAACAAACTCGAAACAAATCCTTAAAAATTTCTGTAGTAACACCAAATAGGCTATCCACTCAATGAAATTCTTTGGTCTTTTATTTTAATAGTATTTTTACTTTTGTGTCTTTTCAGTATTGGCCCAATCCACAATTTTTCGATCCCGGAAGATTTGCGCCTGAAAATATACCCTCCATTAAGCCAATGACCTACATACCCTTTGGTGCGGGTCCACATGGATGCGTAGGCAGTCGACTGGGAATATTGCAAGTCAAGCTGGGACTAATATATATTTTAAGAAAATATCGCGTTGAGGTCTGCGAGAGAACAATCAACGAAATTCGATTTGATCCCAAACGTTTCATGCTAGAAGCTGAGGGTGAGCTATATTTGAAGTTTGTCAAGGATGAGTTATGCTGATATTGTTAATTATAAGTCATTGTGTTTTAAGTATTAAAAAAAGTTACTGTGATAATTTTTAATTTATTCACAATATATGTAAATATGTAAATAACAAACAAACAACAAAATGACAATAGTGTATTATTGCTACAGTGCAATTTCACAGCCACACAATGGTTATAAATTAACCCACAAACAGAAAAAGAGCTGCTATTTTTTTGTATTTCTAAATCGCACTCAAAATAACGGATCCCGTACAACATTCACGTGAATACCACCAAGCGACTGGATAATAACAGCACGTGGATCCAATTGAATTTTCTGCGGCGTTTTGTCACAAGCCGTTACATAATGATTGCGATAGAAGTAGAGCAATCCCAACTTTGTTTGCATCATTGCGAAGCGTTCACCAATACAATTATGGGGGCCAGTGCCGAATGGCATATATGCATTCATATTGTTGTCTTGCTTATTTTCAGGTAGAAAACGATCGGGATTAAATTGCTCGGGATCTTTGAAATACTAAAAGAATATAAAAAGAAAATATTTAAGTAAAAGTGTCATAAAAGCTTTTTAAGCATAAGATTAAAAAAATTTCGGCTTCCGATTTCAAACACAGCGCTCACCCTTGGATCCATTTGTACAGCCTGATTTGGTATGTAGATAGGCATATCTTCAGGTACAACGAAATCAATGCCGAATTCCTTCAGCGAATAACCCTTTTCTCCCGCTTTCGGCGTGCATACGCGATCGAGGAAAGGTAATGGCGGATAACGGCGTAGCACTTCCTTAACAACATTATCCATATACTTGAGACCCATTATCAGTTCGTAGGTCACTTTGCCGTCATTACTCTGCAAAGCTGTGCGCATCTCTTCGCGCAAACGTTGCTGCATTTCGGGATGACGCGCCATTTCGAACATTGTAAAAGACATGGTTGATGATGAGGTCTCAAAGCCAGCCGAGAAGAAGATAGCTGCTTGAGCCGCCAAAGCGTCTCGCTCCAAAATGAATGGTTTTTTACCTTCCTTCAATTCTACTTCTGCTTCACGTCGGAATTTAATCAAAGTATCGATGAGATCATTGCGTACAGCACCAGTGCGAATGCGTTCCTCCATAACATGATTGATGGTGTTGCGTAGGAAGACTGTCGTTTCTGCGGAGAAGACTTTGAAGCGGAATATTTTCACCAAGATGGGTAAAAAGAAGAAAGCTTTGAACTCCATGGCACGCAGCCAAGTGAAGGTGAAAATCTTCTTGCCACTCTTGCGGAAAATGCCATTGGGGTCATTAAGGCTGTTCGCCTGTATGCCATAAGCGGTGATTGCAATCACATCGGTTGTATAGAGCGCATTCGGTTCCTTTACCTCCATCACCGTAGAATTAGTTTTCGGATCCACTTTCAATGCACATAAATACTTGTCATATTCGCGTGCAACCTGCGAGATGTGAGAAAAAATATTATTATTTTTAATTATTTGCAAATGCATAGAAGCGGTTGGCATATATTGTCACAATAATAATTTTGATAATTGAAATAAAATGCAACATCAAAGCGCAAATTTACAGATTACACATACGCCCCGCCGCCCAACCGCTCACTAATATACATAGACTGTCACTACGAATTTAATTTCAAATAAAGCGTACTTTTGCCCTCAGACCGTCTTTAATTCATTAGTGTTTTTGTTTAGTAAGGTAAGTAATTGTAAAATTAAAAGCGATTATTTTCATGATCGTCATTGACTGCTAACGGATTTCGCAATAAACAAGCCAAATTAACGAGTACTATATTAGAACTGAAACTAATTGTTAATATGTAATTATAATTTCACTATAATTATATAAAGAACGATGTATGCATGCACTTACATTAGGCGGTATCACGCCCCAACAAAAAAAATGTTTGTAAGATTTCTTGAGTTTTAGGAGTGCCACCAAAATAGTAGTGGTTTTGTACTTTAAACGACGATATGTACATTGGTACACAGACAGATCAAGGATGGAATTCAAAACGGGTGGAGTATTTATGGACCCGCCACTGGACATTCTTTTGCAATGGTCAGATCTTTGCGAGACTAAACCTTGAATAGAGTTTTAAGGAGTGCGTTTCAAGTTATCTCCTCAGAAAACCAACCAGGGCCTTATCCAGCTGGATATTCACTTCCGGGCTTGTTTTTTAACTTTCGTCAACGCTTGGAAGCAAGAAACATGTTAACACACAAGCTAGGTCTCTACAGTTGTTTGACAACCATCAAGGCGCTCAACCAAAATCGAAGGAGAAACCCGGGCAAGCACTTAGCATTATTAAAATGTAAGAAGCGCCAATTGCAGTATTTTTAATCATTTTCGTTTAAGATCTTTTAATTGATACAATGTTTTAAATTAAATAAGTCGTATTTTTTACTGTGTGCACAATCTACAGTTGAAAGCCGCGCAAGGTCAATCAACTATGCCTTTGGAATAGCATCAGACTTGCGGCGAAGAAGTTAATGAACGACGTAGTATAAACATGAATGCATTTAGATTCACCAAAACAATAATTCAAATTGCGATTATGATTTTTAGCATAACTTTAAACGCCGCCAATTTCCGATTCAACTTGCTTTTGCTATAGCAACCAACAAGTATCAGAGCAGGCATTGAAGGTTTGCGGAATCTTTTTACAGTAATCGCGATTTATCAAATCAACCACGCTATTTGTTTACGCATTATGCAACGGCCATTGGAACAGTCCTTATCACTTAAAGTCTATAATTACCATTAAACCTTTTTGCAGGGATATTCGTAGGTTCGACTTTCGACAATCTACGAAAATTACACAAACAGTTGACCACTAAATAACTTAAATACATAAATCACGTCAGTCTAAAGTATATTTGCAAGACAATAAAGATCATTTTTTTTTTTTATTACAACGTTTATTAACCTCAAGTATCCCTTCCTTACTCACCAGATCTCAGTGCCAGTAAATGTGGTTAGGTAGCTGGCTAGCCACTGCGTGGCTTCGCAGGCCATAATTAAGATCGCTTGAAGAGGAATCGACACTTCTTTATCAGCATAATTGCACACAGGGCGCCTTCTTCGGCAAGGCTGCCGGTCTCCTCATTGGTCTCCTCTGTGTCCGTAGGACCTGCACATAAACTGCCTCGTAGCAGTTTATGACACTAAATTCATGACCGATAGGTCCGTCGGCAATAGAAGCAATGAGGTGTAAAGTACTGCCACTGGTGTAGTTATAAGTGTTCCTATCATGGAAATCATAAATAGCCTATATAAGGACACTTTCTGTTCTCTTAAAAAATGTATTCTTATCCATTTCTGGTTCCGAACCAATACGCTATGTAACAGTAAATTAAAGCTCACCAAAAATCATAAAACTTTCGCTGAGGAAGTATTTTAATTATTCCAGTAGATCTATGTAAACAACAGTAAAAAATCTACCCCTAGGTTTGGCAAACAACATTTTTTTTTCGTAATGGTTTGCAAAAATACTTCAGACTCAGGGGTATACATATATTGAGTCATAATAACTCTTCGGATAGACAGTTTCCTAGTTGGACTCAGTCCAGAAAATCTTTATCCGCTATGCTTTGCGTAAGTGTTACTGTAGAGAAAATATATAGAATAAAACCGGTTTATCCGGTTTTTTCTTAATTTCATATGTATCTTTACCCTTTCATATTATTTGATTTCATACTCGTATCTATGAACTTGGTTTGAAGTACCACGATAAGTCTGTTTGGGGCCATGAGAGCGAGGGGAGTCTATCTAAAAAAAAAAATTGTTTCGAATAATATGTATGAGAAAAAAGGTTCTCTAAATAATAAATACTGTCTTTTATTGAAAATTTCGTGGCACCTACGTGATGCGTATGTATATATATATATCGTAAGTTTAATAATATAACGAATTTAGTCAAAATTTAAGTTTTGTGGGAAACCGCAATCAAAGTTTTATCATTTCATACAGTTGGTATACAAAAAGACAGTGGAAAAACATATATCTTTGCCATATTTGGGAATTTTGTTTATCTGTTGGATTGATCATATACTTACGGAGACCATTCGTACCGATTTGGATGAAATTGTCTCGCTGAATATTTTTTTAAAATCGGGACGTATATATTTCTTAGAAACATTCTGAGTATTTATGCAGTTTTGTTGCCCAATTTTAAGTCTTATCGTTTATTTTGGTAATTTTTCCTGGAAGTTCTTGCTCATTTTGTCCATACAAAAAAAATGTCGTACATACTTTGTATGTAAGAAAATGTGTGAACACAAAATTGCCAAAAATCAGCGGTAAGACCAAACTACTTCGAACCTGCACTTTGTTATACTAAAATTGAGTGGACTACAAAAATGCATTCTCGGAAAATTTAAGAAATCTGATTAAAATGTTTAAAATTTGATCAACATATACTTAAATTCGTGGAATATTTATAAATTTTCTACAAAGTTTTAAATTTTGATTTACATGTTTTTTTTAGATAGTAAGCTATATATTCATAAAAAAACGTTCTAAAATATCTTTTTTTTCCTATTAACGAGGGATGTTTCCAAAGTTCTTGGAATTGTGCCTTAAAAAAAATTGCCGAGAACTTATAGGCAATATTATTGGACAAGTTTTGACATGTTTATGC